GACATACAGGAGTATTTTGAACTGGATTCGAAGGTGAACCGGTAGCCAGTGCAGTGAGGCCAAAACTGGTGTAATGTGCTCTCTTTTGCCTGTACTGGTTAAAAATCGGGCTGCTGCATTCTGGACCAGTTGTAGTCGTGCAATGGAGGTCTGACTGATACCAAACAGGAGCGAATTGCAGTAATCAAGCCTAGATGTAATGAATGCATGTATTACTTTCTCTAGGTTATTTTTGGACAATATGGGCTTCAGTTTAGACAGCCGCCTCAGTTGGAAGAAACATGATTTAACAATCATGTTTACGTGACTGTTAAGTTTCAGGGAAGGGTCCATTATCACTCCCAGATTAGTGACTGTTTTTCTGACAGGGATAGAGTGGAAAGGTCGATGCAGTGATTTGTGATTGTGTCGTTGGGAGGGAACAACATGACTTCAGACTTCTTTTCATTGAAACTTAAGAAGTTTAAAGCCATCCAGTCCCTGATGTCAGCCAGGCAGTCGAGCAGAGGTTGAATAGAGCATGTACCATTGTGTCTTAGGGGGAAGTAAATTTGACAGTCATTGGCATAGAAGTGAAAGGGCATGTTTTGTTTCCAGAAAATAGCACCAAGTGGCAGCAGGTATAAAGAAAATAGGAGGGGACCCAGGATGGACCCCTGCGTAACCCTCCATTTAAGCTCTGTCTCTGCAGAACTAAAATTCTTGATAGAGACACAAAAGGATCTGTCAGTGAGGTAAGATCTGAACCAATTGAGGGCTAACCCTGTGATGCCCACCCACTGCTCCAACCTAGCAATGAGGATTTCATGGTCTATGGTGTCAAAGGCAGCTGTGAGGTCCAATAGGACAAGCAGCACAGAATCACCAGTATCTGTAGATGAGAAGATGTAATTAAAAACCTTCAATAGGGCAGTTTAAGTGTTGTAAAGAGGTTTAAAGCCAGATTGGAATAGCTCTAAGATGGCATATCCTCCAGGAAGCACTTCAACTGGGACTCCAGTATTTTAGAAACAAATGGGAGGCTGGAGACAGGCCAGAAGTTGGATACGACTGAGGGGTCAAGGTTTGTTTTTTTCAGGAGAGGCTGAACAGCAGCATGTTTAAAGGTTTTTGGCACCACACCAGTGGATAAACTACTGTTTACTGTAGCAAGAATGGATGGACCAAGAGTAGGAAAAACCTCCTTTAGTAGTCTAGGGGGGACCACATCAAAGGGGGAACCAGATGGTTTCAAGCTGCACCTGACCTGCTTTAGAGAAGATAGAGTGATGGTTTCAAAATGGTCAAATAGAGCTACATTTTGCGGTGGGATGGATGGGTCATGAGTTGAGGGGAAATGAGAGCCCGGGTGGTCGCAATTTTTGCAAAAAAAAAAATGTAAGAAGTTCTCGCACAGCTCAGTCAAGGCTTCCCGAGGTGATGGTTCAGTGAGATGGAGAACAGAGTTTAGGGTAGAGGACACGTGGGTTGAGAGTTTGAGGTTATGATATCAGAAAAGTATTTGGATTGAGCAGCTTTTACTGCTTTCTGATAATGGTGCCAACTCTCTTTAAGTATTTGAAAAGAGACCTGCAGCCTGTCTTTCCTCCATTTGCACTCTGCCCTCCTGCATTGCTGCCTAACGGCCTTGGTGACGTCACTCAGCCAAGGTTCTGCTCTGAGTTTTGATTTTCTAGTTTTAACAGGAGCAACATGATCCAGAGTCTTTAAGCAGACAGAGTTGAACTGGGATGTGAGGATCTCATGGTCGATGGTGTCAAAGGCGGCTGTGAGGTCCAACAGGACAAGCAACACAGAATCACTGGTATCAGTGGTTAAGAAAATGTCATTAAAGACCTTCAGCAGGGCAGTTTCAGTGCTATGGAGAGGTTTAAAGCCAGATTGGAATAGCTCTAAGATGGCGTGACCCTCCAGGAAGCACTTCAACTGGGACTCGACTATTTTCTCCAGTAGTGTTGAAACAAATGGGAGTCTGGAGACAGGCCGGAAGTTGGAAACGACTGAGGGGTCAAGGTTTGTTTTTTCAGGAGAGGCTGGACAGCAGCATGTTTAAACGTTTTTGGTACCACGCCAGTGGATAAACTACTGTTTACTATAGCCAGAATGGACGGATCTAGAGTAGGAAAAACCTCCTTTAGTCAACTCCTCTTATGTCAACTATATCTAGTCAGTACCTCTCAACCTTGCGCACAAGCTTAGGCTCCTTCCCTGCCAGAGAGGATACATTCCATGTCCCAAGAACCAGCTTTGGTAAGGCAGGGTCAGAGCGCCAAGGTCCCCGCCTTTGGCCACTGTCCATGGCATCATGCAACTGACTTTTATGGCCCTTCCTGTAGGTTGTGAGTCCACAGGCAAAGGCAAACTCATGCTGCTCCTTTGGGCTAAGCCCGACTGGGCCCCATGGGTAGAGACCAGGTTACCAGGCGCTCGCTGACGAGCCCCTCCCCCAGGCCTGGCTGGGGGAGGGGCTCGTCCTCCCCAGGGAGGTGCCCGAAGCACCTCCCGGCATGTCCGACTGGGAGGAGACCCCGGTGAAGACCAAGGGTACGCTGGAGAGACTATGTCTCTTGGTTGGCCTGGGAATGCCTTGGGGTCCTCCCAGAAGAGCTAGAAGAGGTAGCTGTGGAAAGAGATGGCTGGGCTTCCCTGCTCAAGCTACTGCCCCCACAACTCAACTTCGGCCATTTTATTTTGTTCTTTTGAAAATACAAAAGATAAATAAATAAATATATATATTTGGCTCATTTTATAGATTTTTTTCTACTTTCAGCATGAATTATGCAACATCACAATGAAAAAACAAATGACTCATGCCAAACATAAATGACAAATAAATATCACATGACTCTCTTGCGTATGCTGCACCAATCTCCTAATGCTAATTTAAGCAAACAACCACCTTCCTGAGTCCAACAGGAATTAGACAGTTTGCATCAGAGTGCTGCTATTAGAAGATTAAAAGGACAAAGCTTTGTCACGATTGGAGACACTTTGTCTCATCACAGCAGAACAACATGTCTGTTAGTTTACCCACTTGAGTTTCAGACTCTAATCTGTGTTTTTGACTTTTAGTTGTTCAACTGTGAATTTTAGCTAAAATGATCATGATGAATATCACAAATGTCTCATATTTTATACTTTCTGCTTACTATGATGCTGGAGTCCTAAAATATTTATTTTTCTTGGTGGTCCTGTTTCTGTATGGTCTTATTATCGGCTGTAATGTTGTTCTGATCGTGGTTATCTGTGTGAACAGGAGTCTACATGAACCTATGTACATGTTTCTGTGCAGCCTGTTTGTAACTGAGCTGTATGGAAGTTCAGGCTTGTTTCCATTCCTGCTGGTTCAGATTCTCTCAGATGTTCACACCGTTTCTGTTCCACTTTGTTTCCTGCAGGTCTTCTGTCTTTATTCATATGGAAGTGTAGAGTTTTTCACTCTTGCAGTCATGTCTTATGACAGATATGTTGCCATTTGTTTTCCTTTGCAGTACAACACCCTGATGACAACTAATAAGATTGTTGGACTTGTTGTTTTCATGTGGTGTTATCCTTTTCTTACTGTTTTGATTATGGTATCAATGACTGCACGTTTGCAGCTGTGTGGAAACATTATTAATAAAATTTATTGTGATAATCCCTCTATCCTTAAGCTGGCCTGCTTTAACATCACAATTAATAATATTTATGGAATTTTTAACATGTTTCAGATGTTGTTTTTCCCTGCAATATTGATATTTTACACGTACATGAGCATAATCAAAGTGTGTATTTCTGGATCCAAGCAGACCCGGCAGAAAGCTGTCAGTACCTGCACACCTCATTTAATTTCTCTGTTCAACTTATTTTTTGGTTCTTTCTTGGAGATGTTAGAAAATAAACTGAACACGAGCAGTTCTCATGGGGTGCTTCGGGTTCTAGGAAACTCTGCAATGGCTTACCTTATCACCTGTCAAACACTCTTTAACCCTGTGTTATATGGGCTAAAAATGTCTAAAATACGTAGTTCTTTTAAGAGTCTTGTAGATAAAATATTACATCACTCCTAAATTGCCACCAATGAAAAGTCTGTGATAATAGCTTGATAAGATGTTTAATAGTCTAAAACAAACTACCGGGCTTTGTTCTTTGCAACATGTTTACAGTAGGGGTACATGACGAGTGATTCTGATTTCATAAATAATTTATTATAATATTATTGATTATTAATGATAATGTAAACCTTATTATCTAATAGGAATAAATATGAAATGACCCTCATATTCAGAAATTATTGCTCCTTTTTTTTTAAAGTGTTTTGTTTTGTGATGTGAATTGAAATACTGAGTAAAAATTTAAGAAGTAGATATGGATTTTCTTTTGTTGTTTTAAGGTGTCTGTGACGGACTCGTGACCTGTCCTGGGTGTAACCCTCCTTTTTCAGTGACTGCAGGAGGTAGGAACCTGCTTCCCTGCAACGTTGCATGAAAAAACTGTTAAAAAAATGAAAGAGTTTTCAAGAATTACTAGATTTATTCAAACTAAACAAAAAAATAATTTATAATAACTAATTCAGTCATTTCCTTGCAATCAACATAACTTCCATATTATTATGTTGTACAATTCTGGTAAAAGCTATTCTAATGTTTATTTTTTAATGTTACCACAAAGCTCACAATGTTATTTTTTTCAAGGGATTTCTGAATAGTTGGACAAATAAATCTTATTTGACAGACATTAGCTTTAGCTTTAAAAACAGGAAATTAAGGATGTAGCCCTGTGAGGACTCCAGTTTCTGTGTGGCACCCCTAAAGCCAGGATTACCACATTTAAGTGGTAAATTGTGAAAGATTAACTTTAATAATTTTGGTTAATGTACATAATTATTTATTTAATTACTGCCACATCTAGGTTTGAAGCCGGGGCGGAAATGTTGTTATTCATTTGTTCCAGGGATCTGTAAAGAGGAGCCCATGTACGGTGTTCCTTCAGACAAAAAATGGAGGGAAACACGATGCATCCTGTCCTCATTGCTCTGCTTTCACCTGCAGGTCAGAAAATGTAAATAAATCCCCACATTCTGCTTTATTAAGATAATAGCAAAGTTTATGTTAGTTTTACATCAATGAATTTTAAGTTATATTGAAAAAAAGAGGTGTAATGTGTCAGAGAGTTTCTCGCAACACCACCATTTTGTTTCAGACCACGCCACTTTCATTAAAACCATTGTGTTTTGCTGCAATGGGCCAGCCCTGATTTTGTCGAGGGATTTTTTTTCTTCAACCTTTATTTAAATGAGATGGAAAATGGGAATATAGTTTCAGAACTTTTATGCTTAGTTACATAGGATATGGAGCCACAGGATGAGACTGGTATTTTATGTCATGTATTTAAATGTAAATGGTGAAGTTTAAATGTTTTGCCTTGTTATGGTAACTGTTAAAAAGAAAGGAATAAGTAAAACAGCACAAGGACATTCCAGTAATTCATTTCAGTAGTGTTAATAGTTTAACCTTGCTGGAGGCCCGGTCTGGTCTACTGTGACTCATAACCTGTCTTTTACAGAACAGTGGGTGATTGACCACAATTTGTAGTGAATAGAATAATATTCATTCAACCTTTATTTAGACAGTAGAAAACCTACACCTGTGAGAGTACCACTGGCTGCAGCTCTTCTTTCCAAGATGGCCGCTAATTACAACCAGCTGTCGACCATCTACCTGATGAGATCCTGCACTACATAAGGCTGCAGTCATATGCTACTTTTCACCGGAGCATTAAGCCATCTATGGTATTTATGCCCCTGGCCAGTGTTTCTAAGATATTAGAAAGATACTTACCTTGATTTTGTGTCTGCAGTTATCCAGCCTCCTTGGGTCCTGTCCAGCCCTGGTTCTTCTTCGGTCCTGTTCCTCGTGCCTTGCCGTCCAGCCAGTTGCCTGCCTTGTCTGTCCTGCCTGGCCCTTCATCTCTGGAGCCCAGTTTGGATTTGGCTCTGTACCTCACCGCCACGACCAAACATGTAAGAGAACAAAACAGCCTGATTAATATTATCATTCAGCTCCTTCAACCAGACTCACTTGACCCTCTCTTTCATCCTCAGGGCTCCAGCAGCTAACCAGTAAATAATATAAACACTGTAAATAATAAACACTGTTCTTTTTCCTAACCAGAGTCTTGTCTTGTTTCCGGGTCTCGTACCAATCTGAGTTCCTCGAGACATAACAACACCAGTTGTGGTTTTTAATCAGTTGCACACCAAGAAACGTAGAATGTGAATTATTTACACTAAACTGTCAATTAATGTAATTAATGATGAGAATGTGTGGTTCACAAGAATGAAGGGAGTGTGTTGATGAGAATCCTGTGATGGACTTGCGACCCGTCCAGGGTGTACCCCGCCACTCGCACAGTGATTGCTGGACATGGGCACCAGCGACCCCCGTGACCCAAAATGGAATAAGCGGTTAAAGAAAATGGATGGATGGATGTTGATGAGAATGTGACACCAAGTAATCAAGTCTAATTCATTTATAAAGCACATTTAAAAAACAGCAACTGTTACCAAAGTGATTAACAATAAGATCAAGGCAGTAAATAAAAATAACAAGATGTAATTAAAAGCATCAAAAATAAAAACATAAAAACACAAAAACAATGAGAAACAATGAAATAGTAAATCAAACCACACTGTTAAATGTCAGTGAATACAGGTGTGTTTTAAGAAGAGATTTAGAAGCAGGGAGTGAAGTGGCCTGTCTAACGTTGATGGGCAGATTGTTCCAGAGTTTAGGGCCCATGACTGAAAAAGCCTGATCTTTTCTGAGCTTCAGCCTGGTTTTTGGTACAACCAAAAGCAGCTGGTCTGATCTTTGTGCCCAAGAAGGAACATATGGTTGAAGTAAGTCAGAGAGGTATGAGTGTGCAAGGCCATTTATGAACTTAAAGGTTAATAGGAGAATTTTAAAATCTATTCTGACATGGTGAAATGAGCTCAAATCTATGAGTTCCTGTTAATAGCTGAGCTGCAACATTTTGGATGAGCTGGAGATGTGAAAGGGACACTTGACTGACACCAACATTTATTTATTTATTTTTTTTCCTTTAGCCTTTATTTATCCAGGTTAGTCTCATTGAGCCACGAGAACTCATTTTCAAGAGAGACCTGTTTAGGGAGCACATGGTGGGGGTTAAGGGCCTTGCTCATGGGCCCAGAGTGGGGCGAATGAGGGTGGGGGCAAGTGTGGGTGTTTCACCTACCCCACCCACAATTTTGATGTTGTCGGGGCCGGGGCGTGAACCAGCGATCTTCGGATCACAAGCCCACCTCTCTAACCTCTGCGCCACCACTCCCCCAACATAAAGCGCATTACAATTGTCTGGCGTGATTGTAATGAATGAATGGACTAATTTTTCAAGGTCAGATCTGGTCAACAAACTTAAGCTTAGCTAGTTGCCTTAACTGGAATAAGCTTTTTTTTTTATAGAACAAAGTTAATCTGTTTATTAAACAAAGTCAGAGTTCCACCAAAGTGGTTAAAATGCTCCTCTGTTACAGGTGTAGGGTTTCTGGGGTCTTGTCTTACATGTTGTGTTTTCCCTCATGTTTGCCTGTCACCCCTCAGCATTTCTCCTCCTGTGTTCCAGCACTGTTGCACCTGTGTCTAATTCTAATCACCGCAGGTGTCACTCATTTCACCTTGTTAGTGTCTGTATATATTCAGCCTCTTGGTGTCTTGTCGGTGTCTCTGAATTGTCCTTGTCCTAAGGCTTCATGACCTGTCTCCCTTCGTGTCCTCCTTTAAGTAAGTTAGCTGCCCCGTCAGCATTTTGTTTTGTTTATTTAATTAATAAACTGTTTTTACTTATTTACTGGAGCCTCATTCCCTTCCTGCACGTGGGTTCGAACACGCAACAGTCAGATCATGATAACAGGGCCCCTTGGGTAGAGGAACTTCTCCCAGAGTTCCATAAGGCTCTGAATATTGTGGGATTGTGTTGCCTTACATGACTCTGCAGTATTGTGTGGGCATCAGGGGCACTTCTGGATTGGCAGACTGGGATGGTGGTCCCCCCATTCAAAAAGGGGGACCGCAGAGTATGTTCCAACTACGGGACGTACAAGCTCTTATGCCTCCCTGGCAAGGTCTATTCAGGGTTTCTGTAGAGAAAGGTCTGCCGGATAGCCGAACCTTGGATTCAGGAAGAGCAGTGTGGTTTTCGTCCTGGTCGTGGAACACTGGACCAGCTCTACACCCTCAGCAGGGTCCTAGAGGGTGCATGGGAGTTTGCCCAACCAGTCTACATGTGCTTTGTGGACTTGGGAGAAGGCATTTGACCGTGTCCCTCAAGGAACCCTGTAGGGGGTACTCCAGGAGTATGGGGACCAGGCCCTTTGATACAGGCTGTTAGGTCCTTGTATGACCAGTGTCAAAGCTTGGTTTTCATTGCAGGCAGTAAGTCAGGCTCGTTCCCGGTGAAAGTTGGACACCACCAAGGTTGTCCTTTGTCACCAATCCTGTTCATAACTTTTATGAACAGAATTTCTAGGAGCAGCCAAGGTGTTGAGGGGATCCGTTTAGGGTGGCCTTAAGATCGCGTCTCTGCTTTTTGCAGATCATGTGTTCCTATTGGCTTCATCAGGTTGTGATCTATAGCTTTTGCTGGAGCAGTTTGAAGCCGAGTGCGAAGCAACCAGGATGAGGATAAGTGCCTCCAAATCCGAGGCCATGGTCTTGAGCCAAAAAATATTAGAGTGCCTTCTCCAGGTTGGGGAGGAGGTCCTTCCCCATGTGGAGGAGTTTAGGTGTTTTGGGGTCTTGTTCACGAATGAGGGAAAAATGGAGCAAGAGATTGATAGGCGGATAGGTGCGGTGTCTGCAATGAAGCGGGTGCTGTCCCGGTCTGTTGTGGTGAAATGAGAGCTGAGTCAAAAGGCAAAGCTCTTGATTTGCCGGTGGATCTATGTTCCTACTCTCATCTATGGTCATGAGCTTTGGGTTGTGATTGAAATAACGAGTTCACAGATACAAGCGACCAAAATTTTTTCTCTGCAGTGTCTGGGCTCTCC